TTTTTTTTCCAAAATGGTAGATCATCTTATAGATGTCACGTTTAATGAATGTGTTTTAAAGATAATTTAAATACGATTATTCCATCAGACTTACTGAAATCTACTTTCTTGTTGACCAGAATGAAAAAAAAAAACCAACATTTCTATCGGAATTATTTATATAATTAAAACAACGAAATCACATTTTTCAGATCTTTTGTTTCATTTTATAATTGTTGGTCCACTTTTTCTCTTTTTCTATTATTGAGTGCATACTGAGTGCATCCTGAGTGCATACTGAATGCATACCTTTTTTCTTTTTTCAAGGTAAGGATGTATATGTATTTTTTTCAACTTTTACATTTTAAAATGGCTTCATTTAAAAAAAAAATTGCTCATTAACAAGGAAGTTAAAAAAAAGGACTCTACTTTTAACCGTTAATTGTGTCTTAATCACAGTGTCAAGCTTACTATATCTTAGTCACGGTATCCAGCTTACTGTGCCTTAATCGCCGTGTCCAGCTTACTGTGCCTTGATTGCACTGGCCAGCTTACTTTATCTTAGTCACAGTGTCCAGCTTACCGTGTCTTAATCGCAATTGCAAGCTTACTGTGTCTTAATCACAGTGTCAAGCTTACTTTATCTTAGTCACGGTATCCAGCTTACTGTGCCTTAATCGCCGTGTCCAGCTTACTGTGCCTTGATTGCACTGGCCAGCTTACTTTATCTTAGTCACAGTGTCCAGCTTACCGTGTCTTAATCGCAATTGCAAGCTTACTGTGTCTTAATCACAGTGTCAAGCTTACTTTATCTTAGTCACGGTATCCAGCTTACTGTGCCTTAATCGCCGTGTCCAGCTTACTGTGCATTGATTGCACTGTCCAGCTTACTTTATCTTAGTCACAGTGTCCAGCTTACTGTCTTATTCGGGGTGTCAAGCTTACTTCATCTTAATCGCAGTGCCCAGCTTACAATGTCTTAGTTGTGGTGTCCAGCTTTGTGTCAAATATTAAAATTTGCGATATTGATACCGATTTTTTTTTCAATGATAGTTGACACAATTTTAGGTTGCTGTAAAATCGAATTTCCCCCCTTCCCAGACGTCACCACCCCCACACTTTAGGTCGGTTGAATTTGGCTCCCTAGATTCCCCCCCTCCCCCCAGGATAAAAGTTTAAGTATGATATATTATTTATTGATGAAGCAGGCGTTGTCCCCGGCCCTAGGGGCAATTACCCCAGCTACTCAATTCGTCAGCCTCACTCTCTCGTCCTTGCCTATATATATGATCAAATAGCAAGACTTTGTCAAGGCGACCGGAAATAGACCAGGATGCAGTAGATGACCAGCAGTGCGTCTTAAACCATATTAAATGGCTTATGTTAGCTATGTATTTAAATTACATAGGTTTTTTTTTTGGTGGGGGGGGGTCGGGGAAGGGGCTACAAGTCAAGATCTTCCAGGGCATCACAAACACTTGGTATTTCACCGACCCTTTCCTCACAGGACTTGACCGACATGAGATTGCTGCATGGCAAGCACGCACGACGATGGCCAGTGAGGCTTCCCTCCAGTACCCGCAAGCCTTAACCTTAAAGTCAACACAGGGAAAGCAGACCACGAGCACATGCACCGTGAACATCAGCTCAGTGGAGATAGGAACGATTTTGAATATCCAGGGAGCGAGGCTTTAGCCAAAAGATGTTGATCCGGAAAAAAACACCGAAATAATAGCAGTTGGTTAGCGCAAGGGTAAATGAAAGCGACCAATCATTGTAGCGGAATACATGTTTCTACAGAACAAGGCCGGACTTAGACTTGCTGAGGCCCTTAGCTATTCAAAGTCTAGAGGCCCTAAGCTATACAAAGCCCAAAGGCCCTAAGGTATTTACAGTCCAGAGTCTCTAAGCTATATAAAGTTCAGAGTCCCTAAGCTATACAATGTCCAGAGGCCCTAGGCTGTAGCTTATATAGCTTGCAGATTGTGAGGCCCTAAGCTGTAGCTTATATACCAGGCAGATTGTGAGGCCCTAGGCTGTAGCTTATATAGCAGGCAGAGTGTGAGGCCCTAGATTGTAGCTTATATAGCAGGCAGAGTGTGAGGCTCTAGGCTGTAGCTTATATAGGAGGCAGATTGTGAGGCTCTAGGCTGTAGCTTATATAGGAGGCAGATTGTGAGGCCCAAAGCTATAGCCAGATGACAACGAATCGGCGATTATAGTCAACTAGAATATATGACCCAGTGTTACATGGTCGGCTCAGCTGATACATATATATAATCTTTAAGGCTGTTCGGGATGAATGCATAAAAAACGCAACAACAAACACACACAAAGACACGTCAGACTATCCATAATTTCATAAATCATTTTATTTGTAAATATTCCACTACATGGCAGGTACAAAAAAGCGACATTGCGCAACTGTACATACAAAAAAGTGTTGTAGAAATGTAAAAATAGCGACTGTACACATAGATTTCCATTTGCATAAAATGTACACAGTGAATATACATACAAGATGAATTTTAGTGATACCAGTCATCGGAAGGGTTTGGGGGGGGGGGGTTGGTGGTGTTTAAAACGTTTAAAATCTAGACACATATTAAAATAATTCAATTAAAGACAAACTTTTCTGTAATGGACTTGAGTATAATATTTATTACATATTGGTATGTTGCTTATAGGATTTAAAAGGGAGAGAGAGAGGGAGAGAGAGAGAGAGAGAGAGAGAGAGAGAGAGAGAGAGAGAGAGAGAGAGAGAGAGAGAAAAAGAGAGAGGGAGGGGGAGCTGTAAACGGGTTGAAAAGGGTTGAATCGTGGAAGCACGGTATGTCAATGATCTTTCATCAAATTGTTGCAACATGGGAGCAGAAATAAATATTCGTGAAACACATAATTTCACTTACTTATCAACGCCTGCTTTTGAAGAAGAAAAAAAAGAGATAACTGGATAAGCTGAGTATCTGAGGATAACAAGTGTCCATGAAAAAAAGATAAATGCACATCAGAGTTTTCCCACCAGGGTTGAAGTTTATCGGTAATGACTTTTTTAAAACAAAAATGCCATTGCCAAAATTTTGGACAAGTGATTAGAGTATATTTCTCTGGTCAATATTGATGGGGAAGGAGGTTATGGAAGGTTTGGGGGGGGGGAGATGGGGGGATGGGGGGAGAGGGGGGAAGTTTTGGTAAATCGGGAATGATAAGAGTTTGAGCATTGCGTCCTTATAAAACATGAAAGGGCTGGGATGGTTAAGAGGTGGGCTGGGATGGTAAGAGGTGGGCTGGGATGGTAAGAGGTGGGCTGGGATGGTAAGAGGTGGGCTGGAATGGTAAGAGATGGTCTGGGATGGTAAGAGGTGGGCTGGGATGGTAAGAGGTGGGATGGGATGAGACGGTACCTCTTACAGGTTTTAATGAAATGTAGATAACAATGAAATGCGAACGGTAAATTAAATGATTCTTGGCAATGCAGTGTTCAAATAGTTCATTGATAATTGGTGTGGCAGAATACAAAAACTAAAAAAAAAACAACAAACAACAAAGAATATAAAATCCATCATAGTAGGAAATAGTATAAAATTGTAACAAAATTCGTACATATAAAAATGAATGAGCGAGGATGGCCTAGTTACAAAGTGTTGAAATGGGACGAGTTAGGAACTGGAGCCTTGGCGTAGGGTGATGGGGATGATATTTTGAAATTGTGAGGTGGGGGGGGGGCAGTTTAATGGAGCGATGACGTAATGAAGATCACATGATAACATTTAGTATTGATGATTATGACAATCATGACACGCGAATGATTGATTTATCTTATGATAAGGCGTACAGCGAGATATTACTCGTATTTGTGTTCAATAAAATAATTTAAAAAAAAAAGTTAATTTTTATTTGCATCTAACCTGACACGACTTTAAGTCGAATACAAATAAAAAAACAAGAAAAAAAAAAAAACAACAAAAAAAAAACAACAAACCAAAAAAAAAAATTTAAAAAAAAAAATTAATTTTTATTTGCAAATAACCTAACCCAACTTAAAACCAAAAACAAAAAAAAAAAAAAAAAAAAAAAAAAAAACAACAAAAAAAAAACAACAAACCGTGTCTCCGATTATACCTTCTGAATGCTTAGTTGCGATACCGAAAAAAAAAAAGAATTAAACAGATTTCAATTCTGTCTCTCCTTCCACGCCAATCATTCATTCATTCATTCACATCGTTCTTCTCGTTCCGACCGCACAAGGAGTGTACTCCCGTGTTGTCCTTATGGGTATAACATTGTGTCTTCTGAGGTGAAATGAAGGGACAACACTCTGATCACACTGGCGCTACTCCTTATATATATATATATATCATTGCTCCTGATCACACTGGCGCTACTCCTTATATATATATATATCATTGCTCCTGATCACACTGGCGCTACTCCTTATATATATATCATTGCTCTGAGCGTGACAAAAGTGGGTCGAGTAAAACTTGTATACGAATGTTCAACATGTTGACGTAGATTGTATGATTAATATTGACGCAGATTGTATGATTAATGTTGACGTAGATTGTATGATTAATGTTGACGTATATTTTATAATTGATCATTATGGTTCACCGCACAGGGCGTCGGTAAATATGTTGATTACAAATACATTGTAAGATTAATAAATCTTTTTTGTTTTGATTATAAATCTTAAAGCATTCAGTATATAATTTTTTTTAAAAACATCTGACTGGCTTACTTGATTCTTAGATATATCATTTCATAATAAGTCATAGCCTACCTGATTCTAACAGACAGCACTACGTTATAAATCATGGCTTACAAATTCCCATGTAAGAAGAAATGATTTTTTTTTTCTTCTTCTTTTGATGGCTGTTGCTCGAAAAAGATCAGATTTCTTTTTTTTTTGGAATGTTATTTCACGTCTTGAAAGAAAAAAAATCAATATGGGTCTCATGTCAACAATGACAAATGACATCTGTGAGACCCAAGGTGTACGGATTAATCTTTTTTTTTTTAACCATGAATACATACCAACACTGTTAAGATTGGCAATGTTCTCGTATTGAAAGGTCAACGTGTAAAGAGGTCATCTCTCGCCATGTCACACAGGTCCAACCTAACTGTCACACTCACACATCAGCAGTGGGCACATGGACGTGTAGCAGGTGGTCTCACACCATTCGTCGAAGTGATCCAACCCTCTGTAGGCGCCAACGGCCCTGCAGTTCAGCCTGGCTGGCTGCTCATCCGTCATCTCGTCTGTTCCACTTGGCACGGTGTATTGGTTGTTGATGTAGTTTTGTTCTTGTATTCTCAAATTCGCGTCGGTGACCTCGTCTCTTAAATTAAGGGGAAGATAGGCGCCTCGGGCGGCATTGAGGCTGGGGGATCTTCTTCCGGATGTGACATCATAATCGTCATTAGATGCATGTTTGCTTCCGGAAATCCAGTTCATTTGCAACGGTAGTGTGGATTCAGCAATCGTGTTGGAGTTGGAGTCGTAAACAGAGCGGTGACCGATCATGTTCTGGGATTGCGGATAAAACTGTCCTGATTGAGTGCGGGGACTGACGGCCTTGCTCATGTAAGATTCAGGCTGTGCGTAGAGCTGAGGCTGACGAGATCCCCCTACTCTCGTGCCGGGCATGTGACGTGGCATGAACTGTGAACTCCCTCTCACGCTCCGGGCACTGTAAGCCGCAAACGTCGGTGCGGTGGGGACGGGGTCCAGGAATGCCGTGGTCAGGAGTGGATACAAATATGGCGTACGCTGACTTTGCTTTCTTTGCGGGCGTCTGTCGACCCTTTGCGTCCCCTGCCCCGATGTGACGTAGCTCTGCGACGCGGGAGCGTAATACGGAGACTGTGAGTTGCGCACCACGTGACGACTGTCCGAGACTGGCCGGGGACTTCCCCAAGAGGCGACGCTCGGAGTCCTGGAGTTCAAAGTCGAGTAGCTTGAACTGAACGGGTGCGAGGAGACCAGGACCTGTTTCTTGCAGACGCAAATTGTGGACGGGCAGAAGTTGGCGTTGCAGTTATCCGTGCACCACTTGTCCATGCCGCCTCCTAGCGTGACCAGTCCTTCGCACACCAGCTGTGAGCTCTCCTGCTGAGGCTGAGGCTGTTGCTGGTAGTACTCCTGACGCTTCTGAGCCCTCATCGCCCAGACGTGATTCGGATCTTGAACAAATTCGTTTTCGGTTCCGACATCCTCCGAGCTGTCCCATCCATTTTGTTGCTGACGCCCGGACGCAAAAGTGCTAACGTAATTGTTGTTGTTATTGGGGTAGGCGAATCCGCTGCTGTGGGGTCTCGCTTGGTGGTCGTGCTGGACTTGGCTATCCTCAAAAGCTCTGAGTGAGGCTCTGTACGCGTTCATCGCAGCATGGTTCTCGTGGGCGCTGTGGCTCTCCCACCTTCCCGCCTGCCCGTTGTGTGCCCTGGCGGTACTGGGGTACCCTTGGTTGTAGCCGTAGTCTGTGCCAAGGATCAAGCCATTGTACGGTTTGGAATCGACGCGAACAGAGTTGGAAGATTCGGCATTGTATCCGTGTCGGTCTGACGTGTGAGAGAGAAGCCCGGAACCGTAGCTGCCGGTATTGGGCATCGCCTCGGGTACGGCCGGGACGAACCAAGGAGTTTGGGTCGGGTAGTGGCTGGAAGAATGAGTTAAAACGTGGTCGCTGTTATCTTTCTTGGATAGGATTCCATCTTCGCTCTGTTCCTCTTCCTCAGCTTGGTTCCCGCCGTTGTTTTGTTCCCTGCTTCTCTTGGCCAAGAGCGTTGTTATGATGTATCGAACTAAAGATTCGGCGTCATCCTTGCCGTTTTTATTGACTTCTTCTTCGTTAGTTGTTTTCTCGTCATTGTCGCCAGTGACTTGAACGGATGGGGAGTTCTCGGAGCGTTCAGAGTTTAGTCTCCGTGTCTGCTTATTCAAAGGTCTTATCGCATCGTGCGTGGAATGGCCTTTGTTTGCATGGCTTCTTTGGCTGCCATAACGCTTGGTCTCGTCATCTGATGTCGAAGCCTCATAACCTTCACCTGACTTTAGAGTTCTCTCCAGTTTTCGATTCCCGTCCTGCTTCAACGACGCTCGCTTGCTGTTATTTTGCGAAGTCTTTTTACCGGATCTGTTCGCATCTCGATGCACGTTTTGGGCGCTCGACGAAGAGGGGGAAATCTTTCGTTCGCTGTTTACCTTAGCTTGGACCGTAGAAGCAGCCGTCGAGGAAACCGGCAGCTCCTTGCTGGCGGCATCATTGGCAGATTCCTGTTCTCGGGTCGCGCTCTCTTTAATTCTGAGAGCAGTCACCAGCCAAGACGGAAGGCGTTTCTTCAGGTACTTCTGAAGCCCCGAGGATAACGTCGATGGCTTGGAGAATGAGATAGGCGAGAACTTTGATGTTTGCACAGTTTCTGGCCGCGTCTCGTTCTCTTCTTGTTTCAGCTCTGTGACTCTGTACGTGGTCGGTGGGGTGAAGGGAGATCTCGATTCTTGTCTGTTCCTACCGTTCTCTCTCATGTTTTGCAAATTTTTTCTCAACTGTTGCATCCTGGAATCTTGCGTGACCCCGGCAGTGGTTGTAACACGTCCAGATGACATATTCAGGGCCTGCTGGGCGGCCAACTGACGCAGGCGCAGCATCTTCCACCTTTTCAGGAAGTTCATCTCTTCCGGAGCAGACTGGGATGGAGCCAACCCTCGGGTGATCTCGTTCAAATCTAAGGTGACTCGTTGCTGATTAGCATCTCTGGGCTCTGTCTGGCCGGCGACGGGCTGTTCAACACCATTGGACTGATCCTTGACCCGAATGACATCCTGCTGTCTGGACACGACATTCCGCGGATTGGACACGGCTTTGCCTTCCTTGCTCACAAACACAACGGTCTCAACGTCAGCCTTTTTGCGGTTGCCCCCATTGTTGTAGCCGCCGTTGTTCCTCTCCGTGCCGATGCTGTAGCCGAATCGCTTTCTAATCTCTTCAGCACTGGATGATTTGGAAGTTCCCGATTGCCATTTGTAAGGAACCATTGATGGGTTTGTTGGGGGAGCTTGCCCGGGCTTTGCGATCACCAACGACTGTTCGTCTAAATACCCCGATCTCATGCCAGCGTTCGTGTTTCCGGAATGATCGTTGACTTTGTTGATCTCAGTAAACTTGTTTTCTTCTTCTTTCAAAGGAGCCTCCGTCTGGATCACGCTTTTGGTCATCGAGGGTTGGCGCGCGCTAATGGACAAGGATGAATACTTAGAAGAATCCTGGACGAATTTAGCTTTCTGCTTCCCGTAGTCGCTCATCTTGGAGTTCTTGTTGTAGGTGTTGGTCTCCGGGCCTTCGTTGGTGAACACTATCGCCTCTTTCTTGATCTGGATGTCAGTTTTGGTAACTTTGGGTTTTTCGTTCTTGGCACCGTCGGACTTCTGCGCAGCTTTGCTTTTGGAGTTGATGGTGACGTCGGCACAGTTGTAGAATTCCTCTTGGGGTCCGCAGCCGACACAGAATTTTCCCGACTCGTCCTTGTCCCAGGTGTTACCTTAAAATAAAATAGATTTTGGCGTTTTAAAAAACAAGTTATTTTTGAAAATACGACACTGACTCATACAAACATGTCACTCTCTAATTTTAAACGCAGTGGCTCATTTACATTATATTAACACCAGAGGCGTAGAGCTAGAGTGTTTGGCGCCCGGGGACAAGATTCATTTTAAAGCGCCTCCCTTTCTTTGTTTCAACTCTTAAACCCATTATTTTCATCAATTCAATAGTATCAAAGCACGTTTAGGCGCCCCTGACGAGCCTGGCGTTAGGAGACATCTGTACCCCTTGCCCCCCCCCCCGCCTTAGCTATGCCTCTGATTAACGTTTAAGTTTTCCGACACCCGGGGCAAAGATTCATTTTAAAGCGCCTCCCTTTCTTTGTTTCAACTCTTAAACCCATTATTTTCACCAATTCAATAGTATCAAAGCACGTTTAGGCGCCCCTGACGGGCCTGGCGTTAGGAGACATCTGTACCCCTTGCCCCCCCCCCCCGCCTTAGCTATGCCTCTGATTAACGTTTAAGTTTTCCGACAGTTCATTATGTGTTTTGTTTTTCCTTAACTCCCTCGATTTAAGTTGAAATAGAGATTAAAAGCGGAATTTACAAGTTTATTATAAACGCGGAGAGTCAAGTTTTAAAACAACAACAACAACAAACAAGGTCACCTTATGCAACTTTTATCTATTGCCTATTGAGACTTTTAGGCAGGGGCGTCATTTCAGGTTTTTTTCAGGGGGAGGGGGAGGAAAAACCAAAACTTGGTCAGCTTGTTAAGTTGTTTATTACTGGAGGCACCACAGAACATAGCAATTTAAATAAAACCTGCAAATTTAGAGGGGGGGGGGGTGACGGGACGAATGCCCCACCCTGTCCTACCCAAATGACGCCCCTGCTTATAGGCAAGGTATAATTTTTATGTCAATGACCAATGGCTTATTTCTCACCTGTCCTATATTAAAACCAAAACTTGGTCAGCTTGTTAAGTTGTTTATTACTGGAGGCACCACAGAACATAGCAATTTAAATAAAACCTGCAAATTTAGAGGGGGGGGGGGGGTGACGGGACGAATGCCCCACCCTGTCCTACCCAAATGACGCCCCTGCTTATAGGCAAGGTATAATTTTTATGTCAATGACCAATGGCTTATTTCTCACCTGTCCTATATTTCCATTGGATGACACATTGTTGACATGACAGGTCATCGGGCAGTCTGAGTGACACGTTAAAAAACTGGTTGGACTGACCATCGTTCAGAAAGTACCTGGGAGTAAGGAGGCAAGTGGGTTAACAGTGTAATAACGAGATGCATTATGTCAAGATACTATGTCAAGATGCTATGTTAAGATACTGTGCCAAGATACCATGTCAATATACTATGGCAAGATACTATGTCATGATAATATGTCAAAGACCTTAACTGATCACCAAAGACCGTCGTGTCTTAAATTTATCATGAATCAGTCACCTTGAATGGGACAAGCATTACGTTTATTACTTTAACTGTTGGCATAGCTGTTACTAGGGAGACATCTCACGAACTGATCCACCGATTCACACCCGCCACCCCACCCACCAACCCATCATTCCGATTTCCCTTTCACAGAGCCTTAGATTCCGCTTAAGTAGTTGATGGGTTGCGTTAAACACTAACCAAACCGCCCCCCCATACCCCCCCCCATACCTTACCCCCAACCCCCCCACCCCCAAACAAACAACCTAAACAATAAGCAACAACCTTGTCATCAAATCAAGTCCTTAGCCTGAGGAACTTAGTTCTCGTCATTTATGTCCTAGCAGTGATACAGTTTGATAAGGGAGCCGCGTCGTTTCTTTTAATTTACGACCACACCACGGATTTATTATTATTTTTTTTTATCTCCTCATCCTTGTGCCGAATGTGAGACTGATATATTGTTTCGAAAATTATTTTTTAATTTATTGAAATAGCTATAAGAATAGGTTGTAGATTTTTGTTTGCCCGGATGTAGAGACCGACCGAAAGTGATTTTCTGATTTCGGCCGAAGCCGAAAATAGGCCGAAAGTTTAAAATGACTTTCGGCCGAAACCGAAAAAAGGCCGAAAATTTAAAAATGACTTTCGGCCGAAACCGAAAAAAGACCGAAAATTTAAAATTAATTTCGGCCGAAACCGAAACTGAAGCCGAAACCGAAAATGAAATATTAAGATATTTTGAAATTCGTTCCCGCATACATTCTGCTTACATCGAAAATGATGTGGGAAAATATAAATATTTACATTCTTTTTATAAAAATGAGATAATCGTAAATATTAATAAATAAAAATCTAATTTAGGGTTCTCAAACTCGCGGCCAGCGAGCCATTTGTGACCCGCAAGACGATATTTTGCGGCCCGCTACATGACAGAAAAGTTTAGTGTAAATGCGCCGGCCCGTTTCCCCCATTCTCATATCTATAACGTGACTCTCCACGACGGTTTCAGTCGAATCTCACCGACTAGTCTAATTCTGATTTTTAAAAAAAATATTTTTGTATGCCAGCTCTCTGGCAACAGTGAGTAGGTGGATGAAAGTGAATCCTAGTTCTTGAGAACCCTTAATGATTTTTTTGTTATTTATAAAGGTTGACCAGATTGTAACAGTTGTAATCGCTTTTTTGTGGATTACTTGATGCGGCCCACTCTCATTCAGACACTACCTCCTGCGCCCCCCCCCCCCATAATTTGAGTTTGATACCCTTGATCTAATGAATACTTTGGATACCCCCATGAATTGAGTTTGAGACCCTTGATCTAATGAATACTTTGGATTTTACAAGTTTAATATAAAACTAATTTAAATCGCTTTACAATTTTTTTTTAAAATTTGTATGGTTGGAGAAAATTTGGCAGAAATTGGGGGGAGGGGGGAGGAGGGGAAATTAATGCAAAATATTATTTTTTTGAAACCGGGTCTCTAAAAAATGTGGTTCTAAAAGATCACTTAATTTGTTCTTAAAGATCGCTTAGTTTGTTGTTAAAGATCGCTTAGTTTGTTGTTAAAGATCGTTTAGTTTGTTGTAAAAGGTCGTTTAGTTTGTTGTTAAAGAAAGCTTAGTTTGTTGTTAAAGATCGTTTAGTTTGTTGTAAAAGATCGTTTAGTTTGTCCTTAAAGATCGTTTAATTTGTTCATAAAGATGGCCTGGTTTGTTGTTAAAGATCGTTTTGTTTGTTCTTAAAGATCGCATTAGTTTGTTGTTAAAGATCGTCTAGTTTTTGTTAATGATCGCTTTATTTGTTCTTAAAGATAGTTTAGTTTGTTCATAAAGATCGCTTAGTTTGTTGTAAATTCGCTTAGTTTTTTCATAAAAGATCGCTTTGTTCTTAAAGATCTTTCAGTTTGTTTTTAAAGAACATTTAGTCTTCTGTTAAAGATCGCTTAGTTTATTCTTATAAATCATTAAAGATCATTTGTTTTGTTCTTAAAGATCATATAGTTCGGTCTTAAAAATCGTTTAGTTTGTTCTGTAAGATCGTTTAGCTTGTTATTAAAGATTGCTTAGATAGTTCTTAAAGATCGCTTAGTTTGTTTTAAAGATCGCTTAATTTGTTCTTAAATGTCGCTTAGTTTGTTGTTAAATATCATTTAGTTTGTTCTCAAAGATCGCTTAATTTGTTCTTAGATGTCGCTTAGTTTGTTGTAAAATATCGCTTTCGCTTAGTAGTAAATGACCGAAAATCTGAGTAACTTTCGGCCGGATGGCCGAAAGTCTAAGTCAATTTCGGCCGAAACCGAAGAAAAACCGAAAGTTAACTTTTCTCTTTCGGCTGAAACCGAAATTAAGCCGAAAGTTAACTTTCCAGTTTCGGCCGAAACCGAAACTTGACCGAAAGTGATGAAATGGCCTTTTTCGGCGCCGAAACCGAAGCCGAAGCCGAAATTCGGTCGGCCTCTACCCGGATGTATGACTCACTTTGTGCCGTTGCCATCAGCCTTCTCCAAGACATGCTCGTCCAGGCACTCCTGGGTTACCTCCACTTTGGGATCTTGGACGGGGCAGATGCGGAACTCGAAAAAGCCCTGGAAAAATAAACACAATGGAAACCTGAAGACCAGCGTCTCTTCTCATTTTGAACACTAAAACTCGAGGAAATATTAAAAAAGAAAATAATTAAATGCTGTTCATCCCGCTTCATTCTAATTTTTCCTCACCTTGTGATTGGCTGTTATGTGGACTGTGACGTCAATGACGTCACCTTGTTTGTATTCCCTCGTGATGATGCCGTTGGCGTATTTCCCCCCGGCCTCGTGTTCACGTTTACTGTGGTGTGGGTCCCCACACACCCCACATTTGCCATTGTTTCTGGCCCACTGTGTCTGGAGATGGAAAAAAAAAAGTACAATGTAAACAGTAATAGATGATGATTACATCCCATACCACTCTTACGTTACATTAACATACAACCTCGTATATTCAAATATTCTTTTTTTAAACATTGAAGGGAAATTTTGCAGGTTGTACGTTCATAATCGTATGTCAATAAATTGTCAAGCGGCACAATTGAATTCCTTCGTCATAAATCGTCTTAAATCTTAAAATATTCCTCAAAATAACAAATTGTTGCTTGAGCTTTTCAAACACTTGTCAGACTCAATTCTGGGAGGTCATATCATAAGTTGTGTTTGTTGCCATGGTGACGCATGACAACTGATTTAAAACTCATCGAAACAATCTCACTTGTTTTATGCAATATCAAAAGAACGAAATGAAACGAAACATTTGCACGATTATTATTAGGGTAAAAACATCAACACCGATACCAATTGAAGTCTTTTCAGATTGCTAAAAAAATTAAATTGTTTTATGCAATATCAAAAGAACGAAAGGAAACAAAACATTTGCACGATTATTATTAGGGTAAAAACATCAACACCGGTACCAATTGAAGTCTTTTCAGATTGCTAAAAAATTTAAATTTATGGATTGAGCTAATTTAAAAAAAAAAATATACTTTTGTGTGTTTTGGTTTTAAATTTAAAAAAAAACACCAAATATATAACGAAACAAATAATTATAAATTCTAATCTTTAATCCAATTTTTATACTTTTTGACATGCTAGTCTCTATACCTATATCTTTTATGGCCCCCATTATTGCTACTTAAAGGGAAACATCTACGTCATGGGAGAATCTATGAACAGTTTACTTTCTATTTTTAACAGAGAAGCTCACCCTTATTATCTCGGACCCCCCCTCCCCCCCACCTTTTCTCAAATTCAACCATTCATTGTTCTACACATGCCAATGGTGCAAAGAGAGAGATACTTTTGTTTACCAAGACGCTCAAGAGGTTTCAGAGACTTTCAGTACGGTTGGGATTGAAGAATTTCCCTTTGTTGGGTCCTCAAGTACATTTCTCATGGGTCAAAGGGGACTCCAACTGACCAGCGGCTATTTTGAGGGTTCATACGTTTAGGCGCTGACTTTGAAGAAGGACTAGAGTCCACATACGTAGAGACGACCATACCGATGTTAGAGCACATACGAAATAAACTAAAAGTTAAAAAAAAATAGTTTGAGTAATAGTGCCACGAGCCTATGCTTGAATACTCTTAGCGTCCTTAAGAACCAGAGTTTGTGTGAAGAAATTGTGTGGGGTATGAGGGAAGGGGGGGGGGGCGAAGGAGGCGCCCGCCCTGGGCACCATCTTCAAACGGTACAAAAAGTCTTAATTTTTCAATCAAAATTTAAAGTATTGGAAGAGGGCGCGGGGTTGGAAGAGGGCGCGGGGTTGGAAGAGGGTGCGGGGTTGGAAGAGGGCGCGGGGTTGGAAGAGGGCGCAGGGGTTGGAAGAGGGCGCCTAAATTCTGGCATTGCCCCGGGCGTAGCTTTCTTTTGCGGTGGCATCTTAAGAATAAAAAAATTGAACTCAATTGGTTTCAGTGATTACGAACGCTATCCGTGCAATGCATTACCCGGAGAATTGATTCGAAGTGTTGTCTTGGTGGGTGCCATACTCAAGCTAACGAACAAGACGCCTAACAGTAACCCTAACTGTAACATTGATGTTAACCTATACAACTAGTCACTAGATTTTTCTCTTAAACCTTTCACCTCAATTATAACTTGATTTTTGCTACAGATCTTGTTGTCGTGCTTATATTTTCAAAAGATAAATCTATGAATTATTTTCCTACGCATTAGAATACCATAGCCTACTAGGCAGAGTTTAAACATAAAAATAATTATGACAATGTTCCCTCCATAATATCCAAAGAGTTAAACTGAAAATTTAACAGCTAGTCATGGCATCGGCTGTCAGGGCCACACGTTACTCCGCGTGGGAGTCGGGCAAACACTTAATAGTACCGTGGCCTGACCCTGTCAACAAAACCTTTGAGCGCTAACCAAGGTTCGACTTGGTGCAGACGTGAACAATCCCCAACGGTGTCCTTCGGGCGTTTCCAGATGGGAAGATATTTATCTACTACTTAGCTAAAGAAGATGACAAATAATTATTCTCTAGTTATGAATGAATGGTTGAAACGGTGTGTTCAATAGGCGCACAAAATAAAAATTCACCTAAGTTGCGTTTCTTGTAAAATGAGTCACACAAAAAAAAAATGCGTGTTTTTTTAAGCAACTTAGCAGCTGGGAAGTTCACGCATTGCCGTCGCCATTGTATAGCGGGCTCTGCCTACTTTATTCTATAAATAAATGTAAACATTATATTTGAAATGGTTTCTGTGGACTGTTATGTAAAATTTTTGAAACAACTTCGATTCTTCCCCAACAAGATTTTGTAATCTTCGAGGAATCGTCATGAAAACATAGTGGAAAACCATCAGTGTCAGCCAAAAGCAACTGATCCACGCATACACATATTTGTAATGCACGTTACGCCATTGCCGCCTCGCCTACTTGTCTTTGTTTGCGGCTGCGTGCCGGAGTGTCACTGTCGTGTGATTGTTTTTTGTTGTTTTTCCTTTTGGTCGGCTGCTGTTCCGTTGTTGACAAGGGGCGGAGATCTTCTGTTTGTCGGATGTGACCTGGCGGAGTGGGTAGGCTTAGCGGACACACGTGTGGTGGGTTTTCGCTAAAACCCTGACTGAGTGGCCTGAGTTCGAATCTTGATTTTAAAAAAAAATACTTTGATGCCATGTTGCAAGATAAATTATGAGTGTATCAGTTTGTTTGCCAAGATAAATTATGAATGTATCAGTTGATTTGCCAAGATAAATTATGAATGTATCAGTTGGTTTGCCAAGATAAATTATGAATGTATCAGTTGGTTTGCCAAGATAAATTATGAATGTATCAGTTGGTTTGCCAAGATAAATTATGAATGTATCAGTTGATTTGCCAAGATAAATTATGAATGTATCAGTTGATTTGCCAAGATAAATTATGAATGTATCAGTTGATTTGCTTTCATTCTCGTTAGCTCAATCCTAAGAACGTAAACCCGGGTCACTCATGATGGATATATTACATTAAGAAATGGCGTCAGCGGGCCGTTGAGCTTGCGCTCTTTATGCCCTCCCCAAAACACCCCTCCCCAACCCGGGTATCGGGCCGCGGAGTGGCACGTCGGGGATGTCCCTTTGTCAGGATGGCCCCCACCCGAGTCTGCTCGACCAGGTCTCCGCCGGGGGCCGTCCCAACCCAAAGACACCCGGTCGGTCCGACACTGTGTTATTTCGCACAGTGCACACGATCGACTTTCTCAGGAGTTGGGATGGAAAATTTTACGTCCTAATATCTTTTTTAAAACATAGAAGTATGTGTAAAGAAGTTGAGAATATGCAAAAAGGTAGACTACACATTGTGCCATTAAATCCTCTTGGTTTTATTTTTTTAAAAGATTGCTGTTAACTAGTTGTCCCCGTTTTCTTCTCCATAGAGTGCTGAAACATTTGGTCTGTTTTAAAAAAAGCCAATGGATTTCAACAATAATAATTGACATTAGCCGCGGTTGCTTTTCATGAAGTGGGAGAGAGATAGAACGATTGAGAGAGAGAGAGAGAGAGAGAGAGAGAGAGAGAGAGAGAGAGAGAGAGAGAGAGAGAGAGAGAGAGAGAGAGAGAGAGAGAGAGAGAGAGAGAGAGAGAGAGAGAGAGAGAGAGAGAGAGAGGATGTTAGAGGGATTGAGTGTGTATGTAAGAGAGTGAGAGAAAGAGAGTTGGTGTGTTAAGGGAGAGAGTGCGTATGTGAGAGATAGAGAGAGAGATACAGACAATAACGGGATACATAGATGTAGGTGTCCAGGTTCAGTCTTAGAATCTCCTTATCTTAATAAGTTGTAACTTATGTCTACGCCCACAAATAAAGTAAAATGGGTTTTTTTTGGGGCGAACAATTGTTCTTTTCCAGTATTAGAGCTCATCTGAAATGCTACACTTTTTTTCCATGACCGCAAAACTTATAGTTTCACCGCCCTCCCCCCCCCAAACTTTAATTCTTTGTATCGCCCTTACATTTCTGCCACGAATGCACTCAAGTCCGCGGTTGTCCTAGGTCGTACTCACCATTCTCCCCCCGCAGTACAGCTCATTGTCATTGTAGTTGACGGGGTTGGCGAACCCCAGCCTCCACATGCTGTTGCGGGCGGGTGGGTCCATGAGCCGCCCGTGCGCGTGCGTGCAGTCAGGCAGCAACGCGAGGAGCGCGAGAAGTAGCATCGGTGACAGGTACATCTCGAAGGCCTTGATCGCCCAACGTAAAATGGCGGCTCGGGCACTTTGCCAAACCTATTTGATGTGTCGGTTATTTTAGTCCGAGTCTCGTTAAGGTATCTGAAATTTGAATTGAAACATAATGGTTTATATACGCCAGAGAAGTGATCAAATATTTCAACATTGCGGTGAAAAATTACTGTATTTAAATAATAAAGCACACCGAAAACAAAAAAAAAAAAAAATGATAGGCTTAAATAATCTCAAAGCAAAAGCAGTCGATCCTCGGCAAGATTTGATTTATAATTTGAAGCGTTTCTCTCTGATGGAAAGGTATTACAAGTTATGTATTTAGACAATTTTCTTTGAATATGGGGCTGGAACCGACAAGGAAAATTTCTTTGCTGGACTGTCACACGCATGTTTATTTTCTTGTAAGGGACGAATTATCAAAATTAGCGCCCCAAGATGGTTGGAAAATCAATTAACAATGAGAAAAATAATGTCACGTGACACAAGTTTTGCATCTACTCGTCTTACAATGAACAATTCAACAACCAGCCGACAATGGCTACCAAAGCGGTTAGTAAAAGATCGTTGAATTTTCCTTTGTAACTTCTCACAGTGTTGGCTATAACCATCTTCTATCCATTCAAAATTGATTTGAGTCAATTCGCAATATGCTATACTAGATATTTCTTAGACCACTGTAAGCACATAGCAATAAGATAAATTTGGTCGAGATACATTTTTATGGTAGTTGAAAACATTCAAATATTTGAAATCACTTACCAAATTAACCGAGTGTGAAGTAAATTATGGTCAGTTGCTTTGACGACGTGCAAGAGTCTCCAGCAGATTCCAATAAAAAGAAAATCACAGCAAACTCGAATTGTATTGTATTTTATTGAGGACTTGACTCAAAGATATTCTGTATAAGGCCAAACCAGCTATTCAAAAAATCCAATCCAAATGATGTTACACTATTCGCGTCCTTATACAATAAACAGTAAAAACAGTGGACAACAGTGAGTGAGGTGGAGGCGTTCTGAGGTTCACAGAAACAACCCAGGACGTCAACACAATAGTATTATACTCGATAAGAGCCAGACGAATGCTTTCAAATTGTCGTGTGTATCGTGTTCCTTAGTGTATATAATCCAAGAGATGGAGAAGCGACTGACGTTCAGTTGTGCACTGATCCTAACCACTTCTGCTGCTTGGCGATACAGAGCTCGGAATGATTTGTCCAAAGACGGACGGCTGGTTTTATACCTGAGAACTTGGTCGTCTTCTACTTCCTCTTTATTGTGTGTGGGTTGCTCTTCTTGTTTTGTGGTCTAAGACGGGGAAATGGAGGGTCAAAGTGGTTTTGGACGGTGAGACCGCCCCCCCTCCCACAGTGGCGGGGCAGGGAAGGGGGGAGGGAGTGGAGGAGGAGGAAACTTGTAACAGAAATAGAAGAGTGTCCACAAGCCGCATTTGGGGGGGGGGGCAGTTCCTTTACACTGGGACAAGAGTAAAAATAACGGAATGTGTGTATGTGCTGCTGCTGTTTTCAGACGGTGTCTCGATTGCCCTTATTTTCCCGAGCCGCTCATGTAATGAAATGGTTTAAAAATATAAAGTAAAGAAACAGAAATTTGGAGGTTTGCGTAAGAAAAACAGGCGAGAAAACAAGTGAGGTTGAAGCTGCAAGTGTTGTATTCAGAAAGGGAAACAAATATTCAAGGTGGGGAGACAACTTGACGAAAGTAGACTTTGAACATTTTATTGTGTTAATAGAAGAAATACGTTACAGAATTTCTCGAAAAGTAGATGGTTTAAGGTCACGTGAAGTTGATGAGTTATCACCGTAGGGGAAGTTGATAATTTATCATCGTAGGTGAAGCTGATGAGTTATCACCGTAGGTGAAGTTGATAACCTATCACCGTAGGTGAAGTTGATAACCTATCGCCGTAGGTGAAGTTGATAACCTATCACCGTAGGTGAAGTTGATAACCTATCACCGTAGGTGAAGTTGATAACCTATCACCGTAGGTGAAGTGTATAACCTATCACCGTAGGCGAAGTGTATAACCTATCGCCGTAGGTGAAGTTGATAACCTATCACCGTAGGTGAAGTTGATAACCTATCACCGTAGGTGAAGTTGATAACCTATCACCGTAGGTGAAGTTGATAAGTTATTACCGTAGCTATAGTAGGAAAACGGATAGACCTTCTTTTGTCTTCTAATAAACTATGTTTAGTGGATTTTCTCTCCACATTTTTGTTATCTCCCTCGAAATAATAAAATTTTTGTTTCTTCTTTTTCGTGTCACCGAATGCAACATTTTGAAGTCTCGTGTCAACATGGGAAGTAACGAGCATAAAACAACAACAACAACACGCCAGGCAACTGTTTGCATGGGAGAAAAAACAACAAGGTCAACACCAACACGTTTGATGTGCTAACTACACCTATCCAAGTATTACTTCACTGCGACTCCCCCCCCCCTTCCCTTTGTCCCGTATGCCTGGATGGGTGGTGCGCACACTTGCTGTCCCCTGTTGCACCGATGTGTGTGGTCAGGAAACACAATCGCATGCTATTCAGGGAATGACCGATGCATGAAGGAAGGGGGGGGGGGGGGGGGACAAAAATCCACCATCTTTCTGGAATTCAGAAACAATAGCGCTTTCTTTGACTGAGCAAATATTTGGGGGGGGGGGGATATTTCCACCAGCAGCGACTTCAATTCGGGCTCGTATCGTCCGAGTAAACTGGGTTCAGATGCTATTTATAGAGACACGTGTTTGGAGACGCTTTCGGAGATGCCGGAATGTCCTCTGTTTGAGAACCAATGTTTCTGCTTGTTGAGAGAGTATGAAGGTCTAACATCTATAATAATAATAATTCCCGAGTGGACCGTGTCCGACCCGCTGTCAGTGCGCACCATGCTGCGCTCTCTTTCGCCGCTTTGCGCTTGGTCACGTACGTACCCAATGGACACAAAAGAACATCTAGATCAGTGGTTCTCACTCTTCCCTATGCCGCGACCCTTTAATACAGTTCCTCCTCATGTTGTGGTGACCCACAGCCATAAAATTATTTACGTTGCTACTTCATAAATATGTGTTTTTCGATGGCCTTAGGCGACTCCTGTGTAAGGGTCGTTCGATCCTTAAAGGGGTCGCAACCCACGGGTTGAAACCTGGCATTGATAGTTGAATTAAAGCCCCAAACGTGGAATGGACAGTGTTTAACACGCGCAGTGTGGTTGCGGTGCTCCAATTATTTTACGTATTATTTGTGATGAAAATTAATCACATAAAATATTAAAAGAACAGTTTATTTTGTGAAATGTCTCTGAATCTGAGAAGACTGAATCCATTTATGAATAACTTAAACACCTGCTAACCAACTATGGGACATTTTTAGATCGTTTACAAATTCTCAGTTAAAAAAGGCTTTGATTCTATTTTACCACCATCATGAGTGGCGCTACAGCCCGTGTAAGGCCCTGGCCTGCTCCACCACATTCTTTCATTTGGATAGATCCATGGCTTTCCGCCTCCATGCGTGGACCCCAAGTTGGTGCAAGTCCTAAACTACATCGCCAGAAAAGGAAATGAGTAAAATAAATTTTGTGAAAACTTGAAAAAGGAATGCAACAAGACAACGATCGTGTCGACAGGAAGCCTTCGTCAGCGAACAAACAACATGCAAAAAACAGTATCAAATTAAAAAAAAAATAGCACTTGTTTGAAAATTATCATCCGAGAGCATGGCAAAAGAAATGTGCAAATCTACATCGCCAATTTCTTTCAGTCTCAGTCGGCTGGCGAGCCGTCTGCCCCTAGGTTTCTGCCTGTATATCACTTTTGCTGTTATGCAATCTGGCATCCTCTCGAGGTGTCCTGTCCAGGGCAGTCTGCCCTTTTTTCAGTTGTTGTGACTGTAGGTGGGTCTTAGTAGAGCTAATATAACTATTTTAAAGATTTCGGATTTTAAGCATGCATTAGAACTTGTAGCACTTATCATAATCGCATAGCGTCACGGTAGAGTACTCAAAATCTACGCGTTTGTGTCCGGGATTCATCAGTGTCAATGTGAATTTTTCTGGTCATCAATTTTTACTTTTCTGTTCTTTGACTTAGTAGCGAACTTTCAGTGAATGCCGCCTGAGGGGAGCTGACAAAAGTGCACCCCCCACCCAAAAAAACAAAAAACACACACAGATTTTATAGTCTTATACGCAAACCCGAAAACCACCATCAGAGATGATGCCCCCCCCCCAAACCTTCCTGTGTGTCTGTCATTTATCATATTGTCACCCTTATTTAAAATTAATTACTTGGTTCAAATCTTTAATTTATCGGCCATCTCCCTTGTTTCTTTGTTTTTTAAATTATTTTATTCTGTTTAATAAAAACGAGTTCTTAGATTGCCATTCTAAAAAACAAAAACAAAAAACAAAACAATATGAAATTAAATACAGTTTGAAAAAAAAATGCTTTAAAAAAAATTCTTTTATGTCTGCCTAAAAAGTCTCATTTTTCCATGGTTTCCATGTACTTTGACATTTTTAAAATAGAATATTTCTAATCGAAACACACACACATTCGCTCACAAAAACATATACACTACAAGATTGTGCTGTTTTGTCTACCCCACCCCACCCCGCATTTTTGCATATGATTCTCCCCTGCTAACGCTGGCTGAGTTGGTCACTTCTTAGAATAATTATGGTAATCTTGGCTAAGTTGGTCACTTCTCAGAATAATTATGGTAATCTTGGCTGAGTTGGTCACTTCTCAGAATAATTATGGTAATCTTGGCTAAGTTGGTCACTTCTTAGAATAATTATGGTAATCTTGGCTGAGTTGGTCACTTCTCAGAATAATTATGGTAATCTTGGCTGAGTTGGTCACTTCTCAGAATAATTATGGTAATCTTGGCTAAGTTGGTCACTTCTCAGAATAATTATGGTAATCTTGGCTAAGTTGGTCACTTCTTAGAATAATTATGGTAATCTTGGCTAAGTTGGTCACTTCTTAGAATAATTATGGTAATCTTGGCTAAGTTGGTCACTTCTCAGAATAATTATGGTAATCTTGGCTAAGTTGGTCACTTCTCAGAATAATTATGGTAATCTTGGCTAAGTTGGTCACTTCTCAGAATAATTATGGTAATCTTGGCTAAGTTGGTTACTTCTCAGAATAATTATGGTAATCTTGACTGAGTTGGTCACTTCTTAGAATAATTATGGTAATCTTGGCTATGTTGGTCACTTCTTAGAATAATTATGGTAATCTTGGCTAAGTTGGTCACTTCTCAGAATAATTATGGTAATTTTGGCTAAGTTGGTCACTTCTCAGAATAATTATGGTAATCTTGGCTGAGTTGGTCACTTCTCAGAATAATTATGGTAATCTTGGCTAAGTTGGTCACTTCTCAGAATAATTATGGTAATCTTGGCTAAGTTGGTCACTTCTTAGAATAATTATGGTAATCTTGGCTAAGTTGGTCACTTCTCAGAATAATTATGGTAATCTTGGCTGAATTGGTCACTTCTCAGAATAATTATGGTAATCTTGGCTAAGTTGTTCACTTCTCAGAATAATTATGGTAATCTTGGCTGAGTTGGTCACTACTCAGAATAATTATGGTAATCTTGACTGAGTTGGTCACTACTCAGAATAATTATGGTAATCTCGGCTGAGTTGGTCACTTCTCAGAATAATTATGGTAATCTTGACTGAGTTGGTCACTACTCAGAGTAATTATGGTAATTAGAAGGAGTTTTGTCAATCAACAGATGAGGCCCAAACGTAAATATTTCAATTTATTATAAAGACCTCAATCAGAGTTTTAGTTTCACTGATCTACTCATATTTTTTTTGGTGCAACTTAGTGCGACATCCCATCTCGGTGACACATCATTGTGACCCATCGTGGTGACCCGTAACGGCGATCCATCAAGGTGACCCATCACTGTTGACCCATTACGGTGACCCATCAAGGTGACCCATCAAGGTGACCCATCACACGACTTCTGGGGCAAGTTTTGCGTATTTTGGTAACTGTTCTCGTGACAAAAAATGTAACTGGATCTTCGATGAGGCTGAGATCGGAACAAAAATAAACACGACCCTTCCCAGCATCCTTTTAGCGATACCCCCTCCCCCCTGCCCCG